TTTGACTGAATCCAAACTTCACAGAACAAATCCTCTTAATAAAAGGATTTGTTCTGTATAATTTGGACTCAGTCAAAAGGCTGCATCCAAGGACTTAGAAGGCCACATGTGGTCTCTAGGTCATGGGTTCCCCACCCCTGGACTAAACTATTGTGGCCCAAGTTTAGAGACAAACTATTTAGTTTTCAATCAGCTGTTAAGTTTTTATAATAGGCAGTTTCAAATAATGATACTGTTAAAGAGTTCACCCCTCTGTATCTCTTCACAGTGCCCTTCTGTTAAAAAAAAAAAAAGATAGGGTTCTTAGAAAGCAATGTTAAAATAGAAAGAATGCAGTGGTATCTCTGGAAAGAAATCCCAAAATAAGTAGCCAAAATGAAGAGCTTTCAGATCAAAGAAAAAAAAATACAAAGAGCTACAAAGTAGTTCAAATATCAAGGAACCACAATATGGATCACACAAGACTTAGCAACTCACACTATATAGGAGAGAAAAACTCAGAACATAATAGCCAGTTTTTGCTGAATGTTAAGGGACCATTCTGCAGACCTCCTCATCCCTTTGGGAGAGCTTCTGTATGACCTTGCCCCCTCCATGGCTCTGCAGCCCCTACAGCCAGAGCTCAGCTTTAGTGCCTGGGGCTCCTACATTGGGAACAGCTTCAGTGCCTGGAGAGAAAGACCCTGCTGCCACCACTGCTGCTGCTGCCCCTGCCCAGAGCCACAGCATGAAGGCTTGAGGTCCTGAAGCCCAGGGAGTTGAATTTGTATAATGGAAATTTACATAAAGTGAGAACTGTCTATATAACAGAAAGCAAGAGATAAAAGCTTACAACCAAATATAACTTGTCTGGCAAAAGTAAGTATAATCCTATAGGGGGAAAAAAGTGGCTACTTAATGGGATAGAAGATTTCCAAATATTCCTGATGAAAAAGTCACAGCTGAGTAGCCATTTCAAAACATACCAAGAGAAACAAAGAAAGATAAACATTTATTCAACTGAAAGGGAATGTATGGAGATGAATTGTCCATATGTTAATAGAACCTTAATATATTCAAGGATCACAGTAAAGGTTAAAATGAGAGAGGATTTGTGGGTGGTTTTATTCTGTTTTAATGTTCTTGGGAGAAGATAAAAATGGGAGGGACAGTGGGACTATACTTGGGAAGTGGAAGAAGGGGAAGGAAATCACTTGCATAATACAGGTACAGAAGATGAAGAGTATATCCTCACGGAGGAAGGGATGGGGTGGGAGAAGGACAGCCCATGAAGCTCACTTTCATCTCAGCTGGATAAAGGAAATTTGAACATAATTACTTATTTCTTCATCTCATCTATCCCCCCTTAATACCCATTTTCCTCCCACACATAGGCATTTCAGTATAGAAATACATTAACTCTGGGGCAGCCACGTGTCGCAGTGGATAGAGCACCAGGCCTAGAGTCAGGAGGACTTCAGTTCAAAGCTGGCCTCAGACCAGACACTTGACACTTACTAGCTGTGGGACCCTGGGCAAGTCACTTAACTCCAATTGCCTTACCAAACCAAATCAAACAAACAAACAAACAAACAACAAACAAATAAAAAAAGAAATACATTAACTCAAAAGGGAAAAGGGAGAAGCTAGAAATAAAGGAGAGGTAGAGAGATCTAAGAAGGAGTTCAAGACAGGTAAGAGAACAGTCATAAGCAAAACAAATCAAATGTTGGAGAAGAGGAATGTGAAAAGGAGATTAAGAGAAAAGGAAGAAAGAGCAAAACCTAGGATCAGAGGCAAGGTAAGGAGAAAGAGAAGAGCTGTAACAGAGAAGAAACAGACTTTCACTTATAAGATTACAAAGCATCAGACAGACTCCTCTTCTACTGTCTTACTATCTGTAAAAAGGGAGGTTAGGAGTAGAGGAAATTCAAGTACAAGAGGACAGGATGGAGGGAAATAGAACAATTGACAATCATAATTGTGAGTGTGAATGGGATAACCTTACTCATAAAGTGAAAGAGGACAGCAGATCAGGAGCAGAATTTATATATTGTTTGTAAATAATACAACTGAAACACAAATATGAGCATTGAGTTATAATAGGGGGCTGGAGCAAAATCTCTTGTACTTCAGCTTAATTTTTAAAAAAACAGGGTTAGCAATCTCAATTTCATATAAAGTTACAGTAAATATGAACAAGATAAACAGAAAGAGGAGAAAATTACATTATGCTGAAAGGCACTGTAGATGATGAATCAACTTCAACACTTAATGTAAATGTATTTAATAACATAGTATTTAAATACCTGAAGGGAAAGCTCATTGAAATAGAGGGAGAAGTTACAGAAAACTATAACAATGGAGAACTTTAATATATTTTTCAGACCTAGACAATTGTAACCAAAAGAAGAATAAGAAAGAAATTAAAGTCTTGAATAGAACTTGCAAAAAATTAGACATGACAGATCTCTGGAAATTACTGACTGAGAAGAGAAAGATCATGCATAATTCAAAACTACTTGGTACCTTTACAAAAACTGACCATGTACTGGAGCATAAAGACCTCACCAAAAAATGCAGAAATGAAGAAATACCTAAATCATGGCTTACTGATCACAATCCAATAAAAATCACATTCAGGACAGGCCCTTAAAGGGTGCATTAAAAGAACTGGAGGGTCAAAGAACAAGTTACAGAAACAATAGAAAAAAATTTCATCAAAGAAAATGACAAAAAATGAGACAAAATACCAGAGCCGAAAGAATACTGCTAAAGTAGTTTTGAGGGGAAATATTTATATCTCTAAACATTTTCAACAACAGAAAGGAAAAAGAACAATGGACTGGGCATGCAATTAAAAAAAAAAACTTGAACAAGTAAAAAATCCTCAACTAAATAACACAGTAGAAATTCTGAAAATTGAAGAAGACATTAATGAAATTGAAAGAAAAAAGGCCATTGAATTGATAAATAAAAGTAGGAAGTATTTTTAAAAAATCAATAAAATAGATAAATCACTAACTTAACAGAAGAAAATCAAATTGTTCATATAAAAAATTAAAAATGAAAACTCAACTACTGAAGAGGAATTAAAGGAAAATATCAGAAACCACTATGCCTAATTACATATCAACAAAACTCATAACTCTGAGGATATATAAACTTACAAAAATATAAAACACAGAACAAGAAAAGGACTATTTAAATAACTCAATATTAGAAACAGAAATTGAACAAGGCATAAATGAAATCCCAAAGAAAAGAGACCCCAGGATCAGACAGATTTTCATGTGAATTCTATCAAAAATTCAAAGAATAATTAATTTCAATAACACATCAATTTTTTACAATAATAAGAAGGCACCCTTCCAGTCTTTTTCTATGATACAAACAAGGTCTTACTACCTAAAATGGGAAGAGACAAATCAGAGTAAGAAAACTACAGACCAACATCCCTAATGAACATCAATACAAACAACAATGATGACAACAAATAAAATATTAACATGTAAGCTAGAGTTAGGAAGAACTGAATTCAAATCCAGCCTCAGACACTTACTAGCTATGTGACCTCGGGCAAGTCACTTAACCTTTTCTAGTCTCAGTTTCCTCATCTGCAAAATGAGGATAATGATAATAGCACCTCCCTCCCAGGGTTGTTGTGAGGATAATAGTGAGATAATATTTGTAAAGCATGCTGCAAACCTATGAAGCATTACATAAATGCCAGTTATTATTATTCTTATCATTACTAGTGCACTACTGATAGAGCCATAAATTGGTGTGGCCATTCTGGAGAGCAATTTGGAAGAATGCCCAGAAAGTCACTTAAGTGTGCATAGTCTTTGACCCAATGTTAACATTACTAAAACTAGGTTGTGAGCTCCTTGAAGGCAGAGACTACCTTGTGCCTCTTTTTGTAACCCCAGAACTCAGGATAGTGCCTGGTGCACAGTGGGTGCTTAATAAACATTTACTGACTAGGACTATGCCTCCCAAAAATAAATGAAAAGATGGAAAGGACCTACGTGCACAAGAGCATGCACAGCAGCTCTTTTTGTGGAGACAAGAACTGGAAACTAAGATGGCATCCTCCTTTCGGGGAATAGATAAACCAACTATAGTACTGAACATAAAGGAATATAGCTGCATCATAAGAAATGACAAAATGGACAGTTTCAGAGGAAACTGGGAAGATCTCCATGAACTGATACAGACTAAAATGAACAGAGCCCAAAGAACAATTTATATAACGGTAACCACATTATAGAGAAAAACAACTTTAGAAGACCTTAGGAACTCTGATCAATGCAATAATGAACCAAGAATGAAGAAGAAACATGCCACTCATCTCCGAGAGATGTGATGAACTTAAAATGCAGAAAGAGATATACATTTTCAGACATGGCTAATGCAGGAATGTTTTTTTTTTTCAGATTATGCAGCTACATAATGAGGGCTGTATTTTTTTTCTTTTTATTTGCTTAATAAAAAATAAAATAAAAGGGCCAGGAGACAACTAAAGGGGAAAAGTATTTAAATTTAAATTTAAATGTAAAAGTTACCAGCACTCACCAATCTTAAAAAAAAAGAAGAAATGAAATAAGTATTAAAATTTTAAGTCTACATGTGTGCTATATATGTGGAGCTCATAAATACCTGAGGTATGGTATTTACTTGGGGGAAAAAAAAGATGGGATTCTAAATGTCCACTATAGGGAACTAAACAATATAATTCTCAAAACTAAGCAGCTGAAAAATCAGTTTTCAATTAATTCCTACTTATAAATTTAAATTACAGAATATTTCTCTTAACATTCAAAATGACCAACAATAGTTAAATGTATGTGTCGCAGTAGCTGATCCTACTTTTTCATAAAGGCTAATATAGGCTGGCTTTTAAAATGGGCCCCTCTATGTGCTGATTCTCTTCCTCTAGCACAGATGCGAAATGATGCAGTCATCACAGACGCACCTGCCACACCTTCCCCCCTTGTCACTTAGTTTCTTGTCTTTACCTGAAGTTCTGTGTAACAGGGGTGGTTTCCATGTTAAATTCGGCCACTGGTACTCCCCTAATTGATACATGCGGAGCAAACATAGCTGCGGGATAAACCACAGAGGACGTTCCCACCTAATGAGCAAAAAGATCAAAGAAGCAGTATTACTACACTGCTGATAGTTAAGTTTATTTCTACTCCCATCTCCCCAATTCCACAAACTCTGACAGGGTTTGGGGATCCAGGTGTGTGGACACAGCTAAAGCTGAATGGATACAAAGGCACAGGTGTTCAAAAAGAACAACAAAACAGAAAAATCTCTAGTTATACAAAAGGAAAAAAAGAGATAAGAAGATGCCTCCAAAATTGTACTGAAGACTACAGGAGTAAAATATCATGTCTAGTCTTTCATATTTTAATGCCACTTAAAAATGTTTAAATTTTATTTATTTCTTGTTACATTTTAAGTTCTGAATTGGCTCTCTCCCTCCTTCCACACTCTGCACTAGAGAAGGCCACCATTTCACACACACACACACACACACAGAGTTGTTCAGAGCTGTTCTTCAAACAATATTGCTGTTACTGTATACAATGTTTTCTTGGTTCTGCTCATTTCACTCTACAATATTTCACACGAGCCTTTCTATGTTTTCCTAAAATCATTGAGCTCATATCATTTCTTATATTACAGTAGTATTCCATCACAATCATATACCACAACTTGTTTAGCCATTCTCCAATTGATGGGCATCCCCCTCAATTTCCAGTTCTTTGCTACCCACAATGAGAGCTGCTATAAATATTTTAGAACATGTAGGTTCTTTTCCTTTTCCCCTGACCACCTTGGGAAACAGAGCTAATAGTGACATTGTTGGGTCAAAGGGTATACATAGCTTTATAACTCTCTGGACATGCTTCCAGATTGCTCTCCAAAATGGTGGCATCAGATCACAGTTCCACCAATAGCACCAGTGTCCGAATTTTCTACATCCCTTCCAATATTTGTCATTTCCCCCTTCTCTCATTTTAGCCAATCTGATAAATGTAAGATAACCTCAAAGTTGTTTGAATTTGCATCTCTGTAATCAATAATGATTTAAAGCATTTTTTTTCCATATGACTATATGTAGTTTTCATTTTTTCATCAAAAAACTGCCTGTTCATATCCTTCTGACCATTTATCAATTGGGGAATGACTTATATTCTTATAAAGTAGACAAAGTTCTCAACTCACATTCTTATAAATTAGACAAAGTTCTCTACATATTGAGATATGAGACCTCTATCTAAGAAACTGTCTACAAATTTTTTCCCCAAAATTTTCTGCTTTCCTTCTAACCTTGACAACATGGCTTTTATTTGTATAAAACCTTTTTAATGTAATCAAAATTATCCATTTTACACCTCACAGTGTTCTCTATCTCTTGTTTATTCATAAATCCTTCTCCTATCCGTAAGTCTCACAATGCCAGGTAAAAAAATGAACACTTTTACTCTGCATTTTTTTTTTTGGTAGAAGACCTCAGTATACCTTTTTTTTTTTTAAATCTCTAAACAACCTTCTGGAAAGTCTTAGAAAATACTTGGACTGAGTAAGCAGGGAATCACTTACCACTAAACATAAGTCACACACAGCAAGTTCTTTGTTGACCTGGTCAAGAACGTCAGGGTCCAGATTTTCTCCAAACCATACCACATGGGGTCGAAGGAGGCCACTGCAATCTTTTTCTTCACATCTGTGAATGTGGACATTACTCACTTAGCTGCTGAAATCCTAGCTCTCATACAAAGAATAAAGTTAATACCTTCTTGGAACCCTTGAAAACCCCACAAACACCATCCCCACTCATCCACCAATTCTGCACTTGTACTCATACTGAAGAATATACCTCCCTGACTTGTGTATATAATAAATTTTTCACTGTCCCTTCAGGCAGCGATTTTTTTTTTGGTTGTTGTATATTCTACATGGCATCTCTCAACTTAATCTCTTGCCTCCTTCCTCAATTTCCTGATTATGATGAGCACCATTCTATTCCTATTAACTCAATCTTTAAAGTCATTTTTAACTTACCTCACTTCTTTGCACGCAACCCCTTTCTCCATTAATTTCTCAACAACCTCTCACGTGTAGTATTTGATAAAACAAAGACAAAAACATCCCTTGGTGAACAATTTCTTAGTATGAGACTCTGTGTCATTACCTAGACTGGTCTTTAAACAAGAGACTATTGCTGGGTCCATTCACATCAAGGATGCTCATAATTGTATTATTTATCTAATGTTCTATTGCTGCTCTGAGATATTCCTGAAATGTACTAAGTCTTCTTGCAGAAGACAAACAAATATGGAGAAGAATTGAGAAGGATGTGAAGGACTATGTGGATATGATCTACTCCAGTGAAGGGGAGGAGAGGCACTAATAATATCGTGCATCTGTCTAAGTGCCTAAGTATATCTCTCAGAATCATTCTTTCTTCCTCTTTCTAATGTTGCCCCCACAACAGTTTAGGTGCTCATCTCTTTAAACCTTGGATTATGGAAAAAAGGGAAAGAACTGAACTTACAGCTAGGAGATACCTGGTGCAAAGTCTGTTTCCAACTGTATGATATGAGAAAATCACTTAATCTCTCTGTGCTCTGATTTCCTATTAAATTTCCATTTCTATAAAATGGGGGGGTGTGGGGCATGGTAAAATAGCAGAAGTACCTACCTTTCAAAGTTGTTGTGGGGCTCAAATAAGACAACAGATGCAGAGTATCTGGCATGGGGCAACTAGGTGGCACAGTGGATAGAGCACTGGGCCTGAAGTCAGGAAAACTCATATTCCCGAGTTTAAATCTGGCCTCAGACACTTACTAGCTATGCGACCTTGGGCAAGTCACTTAACCCTGTTTGCCTCAATTTCTTCATCTGTAAAATAAGCTGAAGAAGGAAATGGCAAACCAGTCTAGTATCTTTGTCAAGAAAATCCCAAATAGGGTCACAAAGAGTCAGACACAACTAAAAATGACTGAACAACTAAATTCGGCAAACCTTAAAATATCAAATAAATTGAAATTGTTATTACTACCACACTGGACTCCTAACTGGTCATCTTTCTGTCTCTTCTTCAGTCCAACTTATTAAAAATAACTATTGTAATGATTTTCCCCCCTAAACACCATTTTAAAAAAAAGTTAATTTATTTTTAGTTCACCATTTTTATCATATCACTGCTATTTACCCTTTCACACAAGGCCTCTTAACCTGGGGTCCTCAAATTAAAAAAAAATTTTTTTGATAGCTGTACTTCAAAATATAGTTGGTTTCCTTTGTAATGCTATTTATTTTATTGTCTGCATTTAAAATATTCTTCTGAGAATGGGTCCATGACTCAAAAAAGGTGAAGAATTTCTGCTAATATATCAAATCCAGACTTCTCAAGGAAGGAATAAAGGGAATAAAAACCCTTTTATATACACCTTCTTATTTACAGTTTCTATATGTAGCATTAATTTTTTAGCTCCCCACTATTTTTGTTGTTCAGTCACGTCTGACTCTTCATGACCCCTCTTGGAGTTTTCTTGGCAAAGACACTGGAGTGGTTTGTCATTTCCTTCTCCTGCTCATTTTACAGATGAGGAAACTGAGGCAAACAGGGTTAAGTGATTTACCCAGGGTCACACAGCTAGTAAGTGTCTGAGGGTAGATTTGAACTGGGGTCCTCCTGACTCCACACCTGATACTCTATCCACTGTGCCACCTTTCTGCCCTTACCAACTGTACTTTCCTAATTTGTATTTCCTTTCTACCTTGTTATGATTTGTGTCTGGTTCCTTGAAAATTATCTTGAGCCACTCTTGGAAACAGTTTTCGAAAAGTCTACTTGTTTTGCATTATAATCTTCTTTGGCGTTATACCCGTATCTTATTCTGTCAATTCTCTAATTCTTTTTATTGTTTCCTTGTAAGACAATCATAGATTTAGATTTTGATTCTACAGATGAAGAAACTGAGGCTCAGATAAGGAGAACAAAAGCTCATTAACAGCATACTTATTGAAAGTACCTCTAGCCCCCAAAACAACACAAAAGAGGAATGGGAAAGAGAAGCAGCCAATATTTCTCTATTCTTTGACAAAGGCTAGTTTTCACAGCTGACTAAGGAAAGAAAGAACTACACAAACTTCCAGATTTCTGTCCCTGGTTTTTTCTTCCTTCTTTCCTGCAACATTAGAGACAGACAACAATTTTTACCTACCTAGGAAGCTTGTCAACTGGGATTTGGGCATCTGGAACATCAAGATCTGGGGCACTAGAGTTAAAATAAGATCAATCAATCAATCAGCCTTTATGAAGCACCTACTAGTACCAGGCACTATTCTAGGCATTGTGGATACAACGGCAAAAGTTCTCAAGAAGCTTACATCCTATAAAGTGGGACAACATGCACATATATAGATATGAAAATCATAAATACAAGGTAATTTTGTGAGGAGTAAAGGGAAAAGGTCCTAGCAGTGGTGGAATCAGGAAAGGCTTCATGTATTCAATGGGCTTTGACTTGAGTTCTTCAGGAAACTAGGGATTCTAAGAAATGCAAGTAAGGAGGGAGGGCAGTCCAAACATAGGGACAGATTGAGGGTTTATGTGCCCAAGACAGTGGTTTATATTTGATCTTGGAGGGTGTGGGAGCCACTGGAGTTTATCAAGCAACAAAGTGGTCAGACTGGAGCTTTAGGAAAAATTTTTGCCACCTATGGGTAGGATGGGTTGGAGTGGAGAGAGACTTGAGGCAGAGGGGCCAATTAGGAGGCTACTTCAAAATCCAGAGATAATAAATGTCTATTGTAATAGTTAAATGAGAATGACTATCACTCATATAACCTGAAAACTCTTTCCTCAAAGAGCTATATGGGATCATTAGGTTTTTATAGTCACTGAATAGTACTAGCCCCATAATCATCATAACAATGTGTCCAAATGTTTTAGTGAAGTTTTAAGTTAAAACTTAATAGTTTTTAAAAAGCTGAAAATGGTTATTAAGTTAACAAAGTTTAGCAGTGCATTAAGACTTTTGGAACTTTTGTATTAAATACTAATCCTGTTTAGTTTCTTTTGTCTTAAAACTTTGGGTAAATTATCAAGTCATGTTACTCTATGTTTGAATCTTGGAGTCTAAAGTCCATGAATAAAGCTTTCAAATGAACCCCTCTACGTCTACTAAGAGGAGGATAACCGTGTTACAACATATACTTTTTGTTTTGTTTTGTTTTTAACAGCATAGTGTAATTACCCTTTTCCTTCTAAAGCTGGACAGATTGGACTCTTGTAATTCTCTACCACATTGCCACAACTGGTGCATCGAGTTTTAAATAAGCTGCCTGAAAAACATAAACAACAATCAGCATTCTTGATAAGGTGTAAAGTAATCCTATTTTTGAACACAGGACATCAAAGCTAGCAGAGACCTTAGAGATCGGTTACTATAGAGGCCTTCAAAGTCAGGACGATCAAATAAGCCCAAGAAGGCTTGGGTTTGTTTCCAACCCTACCGTCCTATCTACTTCATCATTCCCCCACTCTGCCAGGCCTTCCATGTAACTGCCAGACTGTGGACCCCTCACAGCCACAGTCATTGCCACAGACAGTAAACATGATTAAGCACCTACTACATGCCAGGCACTGAGCATGCAAAAAAGAAAAACACAGTCTCTGCCCACAAGGAATTTACAATCTAACAAGGAAAGGCAATACACAAAACAAAACTGAGAAGGTGTGTGCATGTGTGGGTGCCAGAGGGTACCTGTGATAGGGCATGATTTTGGAGGACTCAAAACCAAGCAGAGCAGCTGATGGACGCTAAAGAGTTAGCTGGAAAATTCTGAGCTAAAAAATAAATTAATAAAAGGAGACCTCTACAAAGGAAGGCTTTGGGCAAAGTTTACTGCTCCACCCTTCAGCACTCCAATCAGAAGGGAGAGACATCTGAGAAGATGTTGATATCTAGCCTGAGTTCATCTCCATGATGACATTTTGGTGAAAAGCTTAGTAATGTTTATTAACTTATAATATATGTGTCACATTCAAATGCAAGACTTCGCATTTACCTATATTGAACTTCATCTTATATTCACTCTAATTTCTAACTTGTCAGGGTCCTTTTAGATCCCGACTCTCTCATCTAGGATGTAACTATTCATCCCAGCTTTGTGACATCTGAAAAATAAACAATCACTTCACCTATGTATGTATCCAAGTCACTGGCAAATGTTAAACATATCTATGCCTTGTCTCTCCAACAAGACGTTAGCTCTTTGAGGGCAAGGACCATATTTGATAAATGTTCCATATGCGGTTTTTAAAAAAAATTGACAACTTCGACTATTAAAATAAAGTTTTGCTTAAAAAAAAAGCTCAACATTGTTACTATGGAACAAGAAACAATAGTGGTAGAGAGGGAAAGAATTCTTTGGCAGAATGTCTTTCTCACTGTTTACATTCCATGTCACTATACAAAAATAAAAACAGCACACAAAAACCCAATTCTTCCATGGTAGGCACATAGTAGGCTTTCATAAGTACTTAGTAATTAGTATATTAGTTCTTCGGTAATTTAGCTGATCTCAGCAGAATGAAGGAGCGAGGCAATACGTTACCTTCACTTACACTTGCTACTAGGACTGCCTCGTGACCATGATGGAATGGGTCCCCTAAATTTTGGCAGCCTTAAATTTTGCCTGTGCACTTCTGCATTTGAAAAAATAACCTATTAACCCTTATTAGTAACTTAAACTTAAGTGCTAATGAATGAATATTTTTCAAGAGATCAGTTTAACCACTGATAACGGAAAAATAAAGCAGATGAAAAATGTATATTATCCAGATCATGGTATGTAGCTGAGCAGACCTCCTTGACAGATGCCTTACCATGAAGTTCCAGGAGGTTCTTCGTGCCTGCTCTGCGATGGAGCTCATCAATGTTCTGAGTAATGACTACCACACGCCTTCCTTGGACACTCAGCCGGGCCTCACATTCTGCAATTGCTATGTGGGCTGGGTTGGGATGCTTCTTTAGCATCAATTCTCGCCGGTAATGGTAGAACTCCCACACCAGAGAGGGATTCTTCAAAAAGGCCTTAGGGGTGGCTAGGTCCTAGAGGGGGAAATACATATGAACTATCAAAATGTGATCAATCTTTAAAACTGAGGCACAAAGTCTGGGAACTAGGACATGTGTGTCTCTTACCTGTCTCTTAAGTCTCTGGGTTGGGAACTACTAAAGGTAACCATACCAGTGGGGGCTCATGCACTATAGTTTTTAGCAGTACTGACTCTCAGAGTATTTTCAATCTGAGATAATCAATACTTGCCAAGACAAACTAGGGAATAACCCTAGAGGGAACAGTATATATACAATGACACACTGTTCTCTGAAAAGATTTGACCAATGTATACAGTTTTATCAATAATGAAATAGAGGGGTTCCTAATCTTTTTTGTGTGTCATAGACCCCCTTTGGCAGCTTGCTGAAGCTAATGAACCCTTTCTGAATAATGTTTTTAAATGAATACAAAAATACATAGGATTATAAAGGAAACTAATTATATTGAATTAGTTGTCAAATATTTTTTAAGTTTATAGACCTAGGTTAAAAACCTCTCCTATAATAGCATCCTTGTTTTGCTACTTTCCAAACAACAGAGAATTTTATCCTTTTAAATTATTTTTAAAAATTAGTAGCAAGCAATATATAGTAATCACGTGAAGACCTCGTTAAACTCAGTGAGACTTAGCACTAGGTAGGTCACAGTGATGTATGTTTTGGCCCCAGTAATGCCTGAAGACTGTCTACCACGTAGTAGAGGACTGTGATGTGTATGGATGAGGAAGCATCCACATAGATGAAATCATAGTTTGAAATATTATTTTATCATGGATGAAATAATTGTTGAATTATTTAAATGAATGACAATTTGATCTGTCAAAATCTATAAATAAAATGGAATTGACTGAATGTATCATTGTCAATTTAGAAAGAAGTCTTTGGTAAACTACCCCGGGGACCTATCTTTGACCCTGTGCTATTCAAAATCTGTTAAAGACTAGGATTAGGGCACAGACATGGAATTGCTAGAAACCATGAAGGGATGGCAGAATCCAGATTTTTTAAAAAAAAAATCAATAGGTTACCATCAATGAGTAAGGAACTGAGTAAGATTACATTTATCCCTACTAAATTTCAAGTTCCACTCCTGAATTCCAAAAATTTCACAAATACAGGCTGGGGAAAAATGTTAAGACTTTCCTGAAACAATGTGAAGACTACACGAGAGAACCTTGAGGAGTGTCAGGACAGAATGAAAAAGAGACCCTGTCTCCACACTGAACCAGCAGAGAGCTGGTAGGAGATCTGCACCAGAGGAGTTCTCATATTTGGCTCTTTAAGTGACTCTTTAGATTTATGTATGTATCTCTTTGGGATTAAGCCTTGCCTACTCAAAAGCTTCTTTTGTTTTCTTCCTTCTATGACCACGTCATTCTCTGTAATATTCTGGACTCCATGCTTCCAGTTGGGGAGTTCTACCTCCTGGCTGAGGTGGGAGACTATGAGAGCAATATTAAACATACATTTTCCAGCCATGGACTAGATGGCCTTTGAGGTCCCTTCCGGCTTGACTATACCTATCTGTTACGAGCGATGGTTTCCATTTTTTTTTGGGGGGGGGGAGTCCGGTTATGAGCGGGTAATGGGCGTAATCACTGGAGAAGGAAATGGCAGACCCCACCAGTATCTTTGCCAAGAAAACTTCATGGACAGTACTGGTGTGCTATGATCCAGAGGGTCACAGAGTACGACACAACTGAACATCAACAGGAGTAATAATAATGATGTAAAAAAAAGTGCCAATGAAACATTTGATAATTACATAAAAGAGTAGAAGGACATTCAGAAGGGGGCACAGACAAGTAGGGAAATGTTGGGACTACCATGTTAAATTTACTATAGAACATTAAAAAATAAGCAATACATAATAGATTTACAATTTCATATACAATCCACTTTTTTGTTATTCTTTGCACATAAGATCCTTGTTTGTTGATGTTCATCAAATTCATAATTAAAATTAAAAAAAAACTTTAGAGTGGTATGTATCTATAACAATACAAACACTGGGCTACTGGGCCCTGAGGAGTTGAGGCACTCGCTCTTCTCCCTCTCCACTAATCCTGCTTTTCCCTGCACTCACTGATACTTTCAAATTCTTCATGGCAGTCTCTATTTGCCTGAGCCTTGAGATTTTTAGCTGCTATCAGTTCTATAATCCCCAGGGGATTTAAAAGAAAATATTGAATCCTGCTTTTAATTCTTCTCACGATTAAAAAAATTTGAGTTCTTCCTTTAGTTTCTTGGGTGTCTGTTTTCTGTTGAACCTTATCCCTTGGGATTTTTCATTTGATGTTTCTAGTACGACTTCTAAAATTGTTTTCATATGTCTTTCTCCTGATATTTTCTTGTTATTTTTAAGAGGCATCAAGCAGAATTATTCCTCTAGCTTTTCACTGTGCAATCTTCCAGGAATATTTCTGTTCTTGTCTATTTTTTATCACATCATATTCACCATATCTAAAATAAAATTCATTTTCCCTCAGAAAACCAGTTTTCCTTCCTTACTTCTTCAATTATACCATCACTACTGTACCCAAACCTGTTATACTTGACTCTTTCTTCAAGCTTATTTTTTGTCCCCAACACATCCAGTTTATCATCATGTTGTTCTGATTGTTCCTTCAAAATAGCTCTTCTAACCATCTCTTCCTTAATATTTTCACCAGTACTGTTTTGTTCATAACTTTATCACTTTAGCACGGACTATTTATCATCTCCCAACTAGTAATCACTGTTTGTAGTATTTCCCCATTCTAATTCATCCTGTATTGCTAAGATAAATTGTCCTAAAACACCTCTTTGCTCATGCTCCTACCTTGCTAAAAAAAAAAAAAGATTTACTGGTTCCTTATATATGTCTACAGCACAAAGTCTAAAATCCTCAACTTTGAAAGCAAGACCCTACGTAATATGAACTAAACCTAAATATTAATTGTAAAATCAGCTAATTACTTTATTAACTGTAAAAACTATGAACTTAAGCATAATTATATTCTTTATACAAAAGACAGAAAAGGTTGTATAGAAAATTGTTATCTATTACATGCAGCTTTTTAAAATTCATTTTATTCATTTGTTATATTCATGTGTATATTCACTTGTTAGAAGAGTTTTGTGTTTCTTTTTTTCTTTCTCAATAGGAGGGGAAGATAGAAAAGAGAGGAAATAAATGTTTGATAAGTGAAGAAAATGAATAAAGTACAGCAAATTTAATGACAGTACCAGCCTTGCCATACTTACTTCCTCTTCTGAATTGCCTGCTTCTCTCTTCTTGGTAAATTTGTGTTTTATTGACGCTTTTCATTCATATTCATTTCCACCCCCCCACCCCCCCCATATTATTACTCGCTTCTCAGTTCAACTCCACCTCTCACCCCCAAATAAAAATACTTCCTTATAACAACTAAGTCTAGTCATGCAAAACAAATTTGCACACTGGTCAAGTCTGAAAAATGGGTGTCTCATTCTTCACCTCCAGCTCATCACTGCTGTTGTTCTTCCTTTGCTCTCAAAGAGGACCAATGACATCAGGAGGGTGATGTCTTGAGTTGTGAGTGAACTGGATTTAAGTGAGGTAAAGCTGTGCAAAGTCATCCACCTCACTCGCTCCTCCAGGCATCAGAGTTCAGTGGCAAGACATACGTCAAGACTACTGGAGATGGCCCAGGATGCAGTAGGAGGCCTTGGTCTTTTAAGCTAAGGTCTTCCCCAAATCTCAATTTGTCTGGGGCAACACTCATTCATAATTAAAGGCTAGGTAAGAATTGAGGCAAAAGATGGCCTAGGGGCAGCTAGGTGACACAGTGGATAGAGCACCGGCTCTGAAGTCAGGAGGATCTGAGTTCAAATCCGGCCTCAGACCAAACACTTGACACTTACCAGCTGTGCAACTCTGGGCAAGTCATTTAACCCCAACTGCCTTAAAAAAAAAAAAAAGATGGCCTAGTTTGCCTTCTTAAAACAATCCACCTGGGAGGGGAAGACTCTCAGAGTTTCTTCTCTGCCAAAAGGTGGAAGGCATGCTTCATCCTCAGTCTATGGAGTCAGTACATTGATTTTTTCAATAATGTCAAGTCTTTCCAAGTTATCTTCCTTCACATTATTGTAGTCATTGCATAAACTGCTCTCCTGGTTCTGGTCATTTCACACTATATTAATTCATACAAGTCTTTCCAGGTTTCTTTGAATTTGTCCCTTTTGTCATTTCTTATGGCACAATTCCATTATATCTTTAGCCAGGCCCTCTAGGTGGCACAGTGGATAGAGTGTTGGGCCTTGAGTCCAGAAGACTCATCTTCACGAGTTCAAATCTGGCCTCTGACACATAATAGTCGTGTGGTGCTAGGCAAGTCATTTAACCCTGTTTGCCTTACTTTCCTCATCTGTAAAATGAGCTGGAGAAGGACATGGCAAACTACTCCAGTATCCTTACCAAGAAAACCCTAAATGGGGTCAGATGCAACTGAACAATTCACTTTAAGGTTTTTCCACAGTGATAGGTATAGCTATAAATATTTTTGTTCCTATTGATACCTTTATATCTGATTTTCTGCCTCTTTCGAGGAGGGAAGTATATGCTTAGTAGTGGTATCTCTAGGTTAAAACACCCACATATGTGTGTGTATGTGTGTATATAATTATGTGTGTGTGTGTGTGTGTGTGTGTAAGGGACTTTTTGTCCAAATACCTCTATTTTCCAGAATAGGTGGATCAATTCACAGTGCCGGCAACAGTGCATTAGCGTGACTGTCCTCTCACAATCCCTCCAACATTTGTCATTTCCCCTTTTTTCATCTTTTTCATGTCTGATGGGTGAGTTGGAACCTAAAAATGGTTTTAATGTATATTTCTCTCATTATTAAATGGGCTGGAACATTTTTTTCATATGATGGCTGACAGCTTTTATTTCTTCTTTTGAAAACTGCCTGTTCCTATCCTTTGTCTTCTATTCTTCCTTCCAATCCCAAGGCTGGGCCACTGGATCAACCTCACCCAGAACACAGGGCTAATACCAAATAAGAGAAAGCCCACTCTAATTAATGTTAACAGTCATCAGACTAGTCACAGAACACTTTTAAACTTCTGAATGCAACACCAACCTCAGCTTTCCATTTTCTCCAGAAACCACCAGGTCCTCTGAATGTTGGCACACCACTTTCAGCACTGACCCCAGCCCCTGTAATGATGGCTATATGCTTTGCCTTGGCAAAGAACTTCCGAAAATCTGCTATGTCTAAAAAACAAAGAGGCATAAAAAGATAAACTCAATGTATTATTCATACGCACACATAGCTATGTAACCTGATATGCCCATTTCCTATAGTTCTAAACCTAACATTTAGGATGCATACCTTATAATCAGGCTCATACATTTTAACCTAAAAAGAATTACTCTGCAATTAGACATATGCCTCAGATCCAGTACCACTGTATAGACTGATTCTGTCTTACCACTTTCCTGCTCCACCAGTTTGTACAGTTTTATCAACAAAAACAAAATGGGAGTGCCTGCTCTACTATTAAGGGGAGAAAGGAACTGAATGCCTCTAATATATCCTGGAACTATGTGCTTAGTATGGCATCAGAGGGCTAAAGCAGTTGTTCTCAAACTTTTTGGTCTCAGGACCCCTTCAAAAAGCACCCTTAAAAATTTCTGAGGCTCCCAAAGACCTTGTGTTTATGTGATTTATATCTATATTTATTATTTAAATTTAAATTATTTAAATATATTTGGTCATTACATAAATATATCTATATTTATATTATCATATCCATACCAGTATATCTATCAATATTAGACATTAAAAACATTTGTTAATTCATTAAAAAATAACAGAAACCATTACACATCAACTATTTTTACGGGAGAAAATATTTTTATGAGAACATATTTTCCAAAATGAAAAGAAATTAGTGAAAAGAGTGGCACTGTTTCATATATTTTTGCAAATCTCTTTAAAGGCTGACTTCATAAAAGACAGGTAGATTCCATATCTGCTTCTGTGTTTAATCTCTTGAGATTCGCTATTTTGGTTGAAACACATGAAGACAATCCAGCCTCACAGACAGATGTAGTTGGAAAAAGGAGGAGTATTTTAACAGTCGGACAATGTTTCAGAATTATTAAGAAAATAATTTTTACCCCAAGGATCCCTTGAAAGGGTTTTGGGGACCCTCTTCTGAAGACTACACTTTGAAAATCACTGGGGGAGAAGAAACTTAACCAGCTCATCTAGTCTTTCATATCACTTTGGTCCCAATCACCTCACCCCTTTGCTGAAACATCCATAACTTTGGGAAATCATCTGAAAAAGACTTTTTTTCTTTTTGTCAAAAAAAAAAAAAGGCTACATTTTGGGACTAAAAATGTTCATCCTAGAGGAGCTCAAACAAACATGATTGATCTCATTGAAGCAGTTTGTACTGATCTAATCTACTAAAATGCTAGGAAAGTTAATATGAAAATGTATAAGTAGTTTAAAAATATTTTAAAAAGGCAAACAGCACTTAGCTACTAAGTGTCTACAAGGATGCTATATTCAAATACTATTAAGTTAATCATAAACACTGAATGAATGTTACTAGTGTTTGGGTAGCAAAAATGAAAACTATTTAAAGTATATTCTGGAGATAAAAGGCTTATTATATGACATGCAAAATTTAATAAATATGATCAGGTGAGATTAATATTCCTCTCCTAAAGAAAGACTCCCTTGTGATCAAAGACTTATAAGCCCTAATTTTGTTGTGTTTTCTTTTTCCGGCCATGTTGTCTAGGTGAATGGTTTGTAAGTGACTTGATACCAACACTATGCTCATTCCTGAGATTAGATTTTGTGGAAGGGCAAGAAAGTATGAGAATATAAGGATATTTTAAAACTCTTTAACCTTGAAGGTCTTTCCAAAGCATTCTCATGCTGGGGATCAACAGATTATTAAAAGGTTGTTAATAGTAAAACGATATTATGCTATATTAAAAATGACTACATTAAAAAAGGAAAAAATTATTTAATTCATTGATGACTAGGTTTAGAATCTAGTTATGTTAAAGAACCATAAAATCTTAAACAAACAAAAATATGCTTCTTAGCTGATTAAAAAAAAACTTGGGAAATAATATGATAGAAAGAACATAGGACTGAGAGGAGGTACCCTGGCAAATTTCTTAACCTTGAAGGACAATTAAAATCTCCTCCCAATGCCTCCCTACTGACACCAGAAATTCAGTTAACTGACTTTCATTTCACATTTAGAAAAAAGGTATTAAATGCAAATATATGTGGGAGAACTAACATACCAAATTAAATTTGCATCAAGGTATAAGGTTCTTGGGCTCTGGGGGAGTGGGGGTTTAGGATGGTTCAGAGCACAGAAAGAGTCACATGAGGGCTATGAAAACAAGGATGCCTGTATTTTCAGTTTTCTCTAAGGCCAGTTTTATCATTAAACCTCTTTAGACTGTAAGCTCCTGGAGGGCAGAGACTGTCTTTTGCCCCTTTTTGAACCCCTAGAGCTAAGCACAGTGCCTGACCCACAGTAGGCCCTTAGTAAATGTTTAATGAATTTCCCTATGCCACCTTTAGCTCTCTGATAAACAATCATAATTTTCATATCTTTCAAAACTCATGTGGAAGATGAAATGGGTTGAATAACTATAAATTCTCTTACTTGAACTTGCATGAGACATTGCTACACAAGTCTTAAAGGTTTTATGGGCAGGACGAGCCTTCAATCCCAATTCACGAAGCACTTGGAGAATCAGATGTCTAGTTGCAAAATGGAGCAGACTCATCAGGATTTTCTTAATAATTCTTGAAGGGGAAAAAATGTAATGGACATGATCAGAAAACACATTTCTTTGGTTGCTATTCATTCAACAAGCACTCACTAGAATTTCTTAGGCACTTAGAAGGGTATACCTCTGTCCCTATATCCCTAGCACCTCTACAGTGTGTGTAAGTTAGCACTTAAATGCTTTTGACTTATCAATCCATTGATTCATTCATTCATTCATTCATATCTTTGCTTATGCCATTCTGGTTAAAAGAATAACTCTGTCTTCTGCATCCTACCCATCATCCTTCAAAACCTTACCTTTTCTGAACACCTTGATTACCTTGCAAAGTCCTTTTATGGTCATCACATTGTATTCTATATATCATCTGTATATAGATGTTTCTTATCTCCACACATGCATTTATTGTACAGCATTACATCTTAGTGTATGTGTCCTATTTCCTGCCTCCTCCTTCTCCCCCACCCTTCACCAGATTGTAAACTCCATGAGAGCAACAGATACCACATTTCAGTTACTTTGGTGTATCTAACTTACTATATAGAGCTTTGCATTTAATAAACATCTGTCAAATGGATCCCTTTTTCAATTTAGTAGAGTAGATAAAATATGAACCCAAATATCTAAAATAATATGAGGTATACACAATGTGACAAATGCATGGAAGAGGTACAGATAAAATGCTAGGAGAGGTTAGAGCAGGGATTCTTTCTCCCCCCCCCCCATTTAACAGTATTTTATTTTTTCCAATTACATGTAAAAATACTTTTCAAAATTCACTTTTATAAGATTTTGAGTTTCGAATTTTTCTCTCCCTCATTCCCCTCCCCCCTTCCCAACATGGCAAACAATCTGATATAGGCTATACATATACAATCATATTAAACATATTTCCACATTGGTCATGTTATGAAAGAAGAATCAGAACAAAAGGGAAAAACCATGAAAAAGACAAAAAAAAGAGAAGATAGTATGCTTCAATCTGCATTCAGACTCCATAGTTCTTTCTTTGGATGTGGACAGCATTTTCCGTCATGAATCTTTTGGAATTGTCTTAGATCATTATATTGCTGCGAAGAGCTAAGTCTATCAAAGCTGATCATTGCACAAGTTGCTGTTATGGTGCATATGTTCTGGTTCTGCTCACTTCACTCAGTATCAGTTCGTGTAAGTCTTTCCTGGTTTTTCCAAAATCCACGTAGAGAAGGAGTTCTTAGATTTAATCTCCCTCAGACAGAAGGGTGGGAGGAAAAAACTCTAGAGTTATCCATTTATGCCTTCCTGCAAGCCACATCTAGACACACTCATGTAGATACACATAAGCTGAATGTTCAACACACACACACACACACACACACACATATTTACAAATGTAATTGAACACTACTGTGCCACAAGAAATAATAAAGAGAACAACTGCTTTTCTTTTCTTTTTTTTTTTTTGGTGAGGCAATTGGAGTCAAGTGACTTGCCCAGGGTCACACAGCTAGTAAGTGTCAAGTGTCTCAGGCTGGATCTGAACTCAGGTCTTCCTGACTCCAAGGCCAGTGCTCTATCCACTGCGCCACCTAGCTGCCTCCAAAGAGGACAATTTCATAGAAACTCGGAAAGATGTACGAACTGGCAAGTGAGCAGAAACAGGGGTAAGAATTTATACAATAAACAACAGGGATATGGTAGTAAATATTTAACAACCACCTCCTGGAATGGGGGAGAAATGTACACAACACACTCTTAAATTTAATCTGCACTATAAACATTTCCTCCATCACATTCTTGAGTTGAGACAATTAATAAAACAATCAATAAAATACTGATTTGTAGCATTTACCAATTTCTGAGGTGTATTTAGCAATCAGTTCTCATGAGCCTTTTCAGCTAGCTCAGATACACTTCTGAATAGCAATATTATAAAAACAGACTTAAGATCTCTGATCAATGCAATGACCAACCACAATTCCAAAGGACTCATGATGAAGTATGTGAGCTACTTCCTCAGAGAAAAGCAAAAGGACCCATAGTATAGATTGAGATATGAATTATTTTGCACATGGCCAATAATTTGCTTGCCTATGTACATTTGTTACAAGGACTTTATTTTTTCTTTTAAAATTGGAGTAAAGACAGGAAATAAATGCTTGCTAACTGAAAAAGTAAACAAAGTACAATAATATACTGCAAAATAATTTTTACTTTACAAAGTGATTCACAGTGAGGCTCCTTTAAAAGATGAGCTAAGCTCTCCCATTCTGAAATACAACTTTATTACACATTCTCCAATTATAGATGGTCAAAGAACAGCCCTTGTGCTGTCCACCAGTACCCAAACTTTTACTATCTAACTGGCTTGTATATTGTACTCTTCCAACTATCTATTTCCTGGATGCATTTCATGCTACTTTTGGCATACAAATCATCATTAGTAACACGAGATGAGGCAGTTAGGTAGCAGAGGGTAGAGTGGTAGCTTGAAGTCAGGAAGGCTTACCTTCCTTAACTCAAATCTAACCTCAGATACTTCCTAGCTGTGTGACCCTGGGCAAGTCACTTAACCTTATTTGCCTTACTTTCCTCATCTGTAAAATGAGCTGGAGAAGGAAATGGCAAACACTCTAATATCTTGGCTAAGAAAACCACAAATTGGGTCACAAAGAGTTAGGTATGACTGAAAAATAACTGAACATTAGATAAATTACTGGAGCCAGTCAACTGTCAAGATAGAGGAACACAGCTATGATTTGTGCCCCAGGCAATTCCAGTTGGTGTATATTCTGCTAGGCCAGCAGTGTCTCTGCTAATTGCAGGTCCTAGAAGAAAGTAATAGTTTCAAAGTAGGACTTTGGTCCTTTCTCATACATAAGGAGTATCACTTCTTCATCCTGGCCTATGAGGGGGACTAATCCATGAGCTCATTGTTTTTACAAAAAAATGAAGAAAGGCCATATTATCTATGGGAATTAAAGGTCAATGATGAATAAAAAACCACCAAGGCATTTTTTCCCAACTAAATCAGGGTACAAAGAAATATATAAATACATAAATAAATGTATGTAATCTATAAATACACAATAAATATGATATGTAGCATACAAATATATGCACATATATGTACACTTGTGCATATATGTATACGTATGCACATATTCATTCACAGCTCCCATATATACATGTGACTCCCTTTTCCTAATACATCTGGTTTTCTGAGTAAAATAATATATTATATATTTATATACTATATATATTTTATTTACTTATTTATATATTTATACTATATATATTTGTTATACATATAACAAATTATATATTTGTTATATATATAACAAAGTATACATGTATACAAAGGATATGCAAGAAATTCGTTGGTATAATATTTAGCACAGAATCTTTCTCTACTTTTAGTAACTTCAGGTAAACCATATCTCCAAGTAAGGGGAACTTAGAGACTTGCTTTTCTCAAGAAGCTAGGCTAATGTAGGGATATATTTAACAAATCTCTGTGTTATTCTTACTGATAGGTGATTCTAGTAAAAAGAAATGATGTATTCTTTCTCTCAAGAGAGAGGAAGAAAAGGGCAGCTAGTAAAGCTAATGGTTACCTTTTTTGGATGACTGTCTTAGAGGAAAGGACCATTAGTAAATGCTTCCTTAAGTTACTGTCTCAAGAGAGAAGGAAGACAACTAGCAACCAGCCTTTGGATGACTTGATTAACAACTGAAAACTCCCTTTTCCTCTCTCGTGTCAATTGCTTTACACCAACTTTTGTAGGAAATTGTGTTAAAATCACCTCACAGATGAGGAAATGGAGGCATAGAGCAGTTATTTCCCTAGAACCTAGACTGAAACCTGGACTTCTGGCTTCAAATCCAGTGTTCTCTCCATGCTACTTGACTCACCACCATGAAACTTCATGAGCCAGTGTCTCAGTGCATAAAGTTTTATAAAGTGTTTCCCTCACAATAACCTTGCGCAATAAGTAGCATAAATTACTGTCACTGCCAATTTATATTTTATTTTATTTACTTCATTTTTTTTTTGCTTTTAGGCAATTGGGGTTAAGTGACTTGCCCAGGGTCACACAGCTAGTAAGTGTCAAGTGTTTGGTCTGAGGCCGTATTTGAACTCAGGTCCTCCTGACTTCAGGGCCGGTGCTCCATCCACTGGGCCACCTAGCTGCCCCCCACTGCCAATTTATAAAGGAGGAAACTGAGACTCAGCAAAATTACTTGACTTATTCAAGCTTACATATCTCAGAAGATTAGGAGCCAGGACTGTCCAAATTCAGTGTTGTTCCCAGCACACATACTGCTCGAAAGCCCAAAAGAAGTTGCATTTTACATAAACTCATATTCTCTTTTACATAGCCGCCTGTCTTTTCCAAGCAAAGTTAGTGAGGTTCAGTTTAAAGGGAAAGGCAGTAGAGCCATGCTAAGAAAGTGACTAAAATGGCCATATCCTTGGACCCAGAGAGCCTACCCCTGGGCATATACACCAAGGAAGTCAAAGATAGAAAGATCCCTTACACACCAAAATATCATCGGCACTTTTTGTACTAGTAACAACAACAAAAAACCTCTGCAAAGTAGATGTCAATCAACCAAGGAATGGCTAAACAAATTGCGGTATATGAATGTAATAGAATATTATTTTGCTGTTAAAAAAAGTGGAGGGAGAGGCAACTTGGCTGGTGGAGAGAAAGTTGAGCCAGGTAAACTCCTCTCTAACACACTTTGGCAGTTCAACCCAGGGCACTTTCTCAATGCTCTAAGACTTGAAGTTGAAGAGAAGGTGTTGATCTGACTGGTAGAGGAAGCTCCTCCCTGGAAGCCCTCTAAACTGATGAAAACATGTTGGAGAAAAAAATATAAGTATGAATAAAATGGCTGAAGGAATTTTTTTTTTAACAATCAGTTCTCATGAGCTTTTTGAGCTAGCTCTGATACACTTCTAGTTTTGTTTTGTTTTGCTAGGCAACGGAGTTAAGTGACTTGCTCAAGGTCACACAGCTATATAAGGAAGACTTATATGCTATTAAGTGGATATGATATGAAGCCTAATACCAAATGGAAGTATGCAGAATGACAAAAAACAATAAACACCACTACCACACAACTGCAAAGAGCAAAAAACCATGGAACCACTAGAGAAGGACTAGACTTGCCCGTGAGGAAAAGATGAGGATGCACCCTCCTCTTGTTTAGTGGCGTGCCATGCTGCCACGTAAAACTACCTTCCTGTACTGTCCATTGTAATCCAATGGGGATTAGAATGTAAGCTTCTCGAAAGCAGGGCCTGGTTGGGTTTTTTTGTGTTTGTTTTTTCATTTCTTTGTATCTCCAATGATTAGCTCGGGGCAAGCGCTTAATAAAAGTTACATAAAGTTGAGTTTCTTTTCCCAGTTTTAAATTATTATTTTTTTTAAATGATAGTTCTCCGGGTAGGAGAGGTATAAGCAAATGAAACTAATAAAATCTCTCTGAAGATAAAAAGGACAAGCAGGCCAAAAAACCAGCGGTCAGCGCGGCCTCACTTTCAATGCCCACTGCCCCAGGCGGGGCCCCCGGCGCCGGGCGGACAGTGGCCGCTCTCCGGAGCCCCGCCGTCCGGCTCAGCACGCGCTGACCACGCTTCACCCGGTAAACAGCAGCGGTCAAGGTCGGGGAGGCGTGAGCGCGTGCAGCCCCGAGGCCCTCTCCGATTGGAGCAGGGGAGGAGAGGGCCGGATGTGACCCTGCAACAACCAAAGAACAGACAGCAGAAAGGGACGCCCCTGCTCCACCCCCGGCACGCCGCCCCTTCCCGAGCATACGCGGGAACGGGGGGGGGAGGGGGCGGTGGTAGTTTCGGCCGCGGCGCTGGCTGCCCCTCCCCAGCACAAGCTGCACTCTTTCCTTCCCAGCGCACGGGCACAGCCCGCCTCCGCAGCTCCCCAGCCCGCACGCTCCTCCCAGCCCCCTTTCACCCTCGGCCTCCCCGGGGCCTGCGGCCGCTGCAGGCTGGGACCTAGCTCGCACCCGCTCTTTCGTGCTTCGGCAGAGGGCGGGAACCGGGCGGGGACGCGAGGGGAAGGGAGGAGAGAGCGCCCACCGAGGCAAAAGCCTGGCGCGTTAAGGCAGGAGGAGGGGCGGGGGATCCAGGCAGGCCCCGGAGCGGGGTGGTGGGCTCGCCTGGCGACACCCGGGCGAGCACCCACCTGCAGGGGCAGCTGACGGCGCGGCAGGAGGAAGTACCAGGGGCTAGACCACCCCCCGACGCCCAGCAGCGGCTCCAGCGTCCGCCCCGGGGAGGGAAGGCGGAAGGGAGGAAGGGGGCGGAGACTGCGCTGTCACGCCCCGGGAGCTCTACTGCCACCCGGCGGAGCCCTCCCTTGTTAGGGCCCAGTTGCACAATGCGGGTGGGGGAGGGGAGAGAACGCCAAAATGTGGTGTGGGCATAGCGTGATTTTTGGTCCACTCTGGCTATTCCATTCCCCTGCCTAGGCGGGGAATTTCACGCTTTCCATTTGTTTGTAGAAAAACTTGTGCAATACACTTACTGTTCACTGCAGAAGCTAAGCTGCAGGTCTCTGTAATGCTGCGGACCAGTAATGAATAGTATGCTCCCCATGGGTCAAGTCAAATCAACAAACATTTAAGTGTTGAGCATGCGCCAGGTACTGCTCCTAGCGGCGGGTATGCAAAACAGAGGTAAGAGACCATCCTTGTCCTCAAGGAATCTAGTGGAAAGACAACGTGCGAACAAACTGCTAGATATATCCGGGAGCAATTGGAAGTAATCTCTGAGAGCAGGCATTTAGATTAAGGAGGACTTGGTTTAACAGCTCTACTGACTCTTATCCAACTGCTCACCACCGTGCCTGTTCCTTCTGGTTTCCAGATTTTCTCATGAGAATAATACATAGTACTACCCCACCCCACTCTGCCAATACCACCTCACTCTTATTTGTACTTTTTGCTTTTAAAAGAGGTATTTAAAGGAGAGTCATACTCTAGTCATTACTACCATCCCACCAAATCTTAATGATACTATTTAAGTCTAAATATATCTCTTTATGTTAAGCGTTCTAGGTCACCTTGTTTTATTACCTATACTTCGTGCATTTGTTCATTGACATCTGAAACCCTCGGTTTTATTGACGCCCTGGATTCCATTTTTGAATATTGTCTCTCACTTTCTCACCCTAGGAAGAACATTCTCTTTATTCATGAGTAGCTGTTAACTTGGCATTGACAGAAGCATAAAAGTAGTGGAATACTTAACAAAAGTATAAACATAAAACATGCAGATTAACAAAAGATACAAACTGACTTTAAATAACCCAACTTTAGGAAAAGAGATTGAATAAGCCATAAATGAGCACTCAATGAAAAAAAACTTCAGGACCAGATGAATTCACAAGTGAATCTGATGAAACAATCAAAAACCCAATTCATTCCAATAATACATAAAATGCATTGTAAGAAAAGAAGACACTCTTCCAGTCTCCCAATTTCCAATCTTCCAAATCTATGTTACAAATATGGTCTTGATACCTAAACCAAGGAGAGACAAAGTAGAGCAAGAAAAGTATAGACTATATCCTATTTTAAATAAAAATGTTAAAATATTAGCAAGTAGGCTACAGCAAGATATTAGAGGGATGATACTCTATTACCAGATTGGGTTTATACTAGTAATGGAGGACCCACTCAACATAGGGATGATTATAAATATGATAAAGCATTTTAATAATATAAATGAAACATGATTACATCAGCAGATGCTTAAAAGCCTTTTGGACAAAATCCAATGGTCATTTCTATTAAAAATTCTAGAAATCATAGGAATAAATGAACCTTTCTAATATAGTAAATAGTGTTAATATAGTAATTACATTAGTAATTAATATAGTAAATAGTATTTTTGTATAGCCAAGAACAACCATTGTATGTAATGGAGAGAAGTTAGAGGGCTTTTACAATAAGAATAGGGGTTGAGTAAAGATGCCCATCATCACTACAAATATTGAACATAGCACTAGAAATGCTAACTATATCAATAAGACAAGAAAAAGAAATTGAGGGAATTAAGCATAGGCAAAGAGAAAACAAAATTTTTACTTCTTGTAGATGACATGATACTATATTAGAGAACTTTAGAGAGTCAACTAAAAAATTGAAATAATGTCAACAAAATTTCAAGATGTAAGACAAACCTACATAAATCATTAGCAGTTATATATGTATATATATATATATATATATACACTTGTGCATGTGTATATGTGTGTACACACACACACACACACACACACACACACACACATATACTGGAGAAGGAAATGGCTACTCCAGTATCTCTTCCAAGGAAACCCCAAATGGGATCATGAAGAGTTGTACAGAACTGAAAAATGAGGTATCATATATGCATATATAAAGTATGTATTTATAAAACCAACAAAACCCAGCAAAAAAGACTTAGAGAAATTCCATTCAAAATAACTATTGAAGCTATAAAACACTTGGGCGTATATCTTCTAAGATTCACCAAGGAACCATATGAATCTAACCATAAAACATTCTTTGTAGAAATAAAGACCTAAATCATTGGGGAAATGTTCGTTGCTCATGAGTAGAGACAAAACAATAAAAATGGTAACATTACCTAAATTAATTTCTTTATTCAAAGCTGTGCCAAAGTCTCCAAAGAATATTTTATGGAGCTAGAAAAAATAATGAAATTCATGTGGAGAAATAACAGGTCAAGAATCTCAAGAGTAATAATAAAAAAAATTGGGAAGGAAGGGAGTCTATCAGCAGCAGATCTCAAGCTATATTACAAAGTAGTAATCATTAAAATGATCTGGTATTGATTAAAAAGAAGTGAAGCAGTTGAAGAGATAAGGTGCACAATATTCAGAAGCAAACATGTAACATAGTGTTTGATAAATCCAAAGACGCTGGTTGGTGGGGGAAAGACTCAATATTTACAAAAACTGCTGGGAAAACTAGACAGAAGCCTGGCAGAAAGTAAGTGTAGTCCAATACCTCACAATGTATAATGTGTTAATCTCCAAATGGATATGTAACTTAGATATAAAAGTCACATCATTAACATTAGAAAAGTGAAGAAGAAATTACATTTCAGATTTATGGTTAAAGGAAGAGTTCATTACTAAACAAGTTTATAGAGAGGATCACACAAGATAAAATGAACAATTTTGACTATATAAAAAGGGAAATTTTTACACAAATCTAATGTAATAAAAATTAGAGGGGGAGTATATAACTAGGGGTGGGAGGAAGCTTTGCAACAAGTTTCTCTCATAAAGATACGTGGAGAACTGGTTTGAATTTATTTGACTAAGAACTATTCTCCAATAGACAAATAGTTAAAGGATATGAGTAGATAGTTTTCAAAGGAAGAAATCCCAATTACCAACAATCACATGAAAAAATATCCTAAAGTCTAAATCACTAAAAACTAGAGAAATGCAAATTAAAGCCACTTTAAGGTTCAACTCTCAACCTATCAGACTGACAAACATGACAAAAGAAGAAAATGAAAAATCTTGGAATAATTATGGGAAAACAGGTACCCTAGTGCACTGTTGGGGAAGCTATGAATTGGTCTAGCCATTCTGGAAAGCAATTTGGAATTATGCTGGAAAAGTTACCAAACTATGCATGTCCTTTGACCCAGATGTACCATAACTAGACCTATACCCCAAAGAAATGAAAGAAAGAAGAAAAGGATTTATATGAACAAAAATAGTTATAGTAGCTCTTTTCATGGTAACCCCAAATTGGAAACTAAAGGGAGAAGGATGTCTTCTTACTGGAGAATGTCTAAACAAATTGTACTATATGAATGTAATGGAGTAATATTTTGCCATAGGAAGTAATGAAATGGATAATTTCTGAAGAAACTGGAGAGAGCTTTATGACAAATGCAGTGAAATGATCAGAACTAGGACAGTTTTTATGATGATAAGAACAAAACAATTTTGAAAGACTTTGAAAGTTCTCCAATCAACCCAATGATAAACCACAAATCCAAAAGAATGGAGATAAAACATACCACTTGCCTCCTGACAGAGAGGTGAAGAACTTAAAATATAGAGACATATTTTTACACGTGGCTAATGTGGGAATTTGTTTTACTAGATGTGGTAGATATGTTTTGAGGAATTTGTTTTCTGTTGTTTTTTAATATTTGCTCAATGGGGGAGAGGTATAGAGAAAGGGAGAGATAAATTTTTAAAATAATTGCTATTTGAAAAATGAAAAAGAAAGTTAAATCCATAAAAAAATCCCACAAAATAATGAACTCTGTATATCTTCTGTCTCACAATCCAGATTCCTTTCCATATACCCACCCTTCCTGACTTCCTCTTTGTCAAAGTATATATCTCTAATTAATTCATAGGATTACAGATTTAGACCTGGAAGAAACCTAAGAGGCCAGTCCCACCCCCATTACTTTATATGTGAGGAAATTGAGGCCCAGGCAGGTTAAATAATTTTCTGAAGGTCATGCAGGTAGTAAGCCAGTCAAGGGTGGGATTAAATTCAGATGCACTGATTCCAGAGTGAGGAATCTATTTGTCTTTTTGCTGTAGCCAGCAATTCTAGAACTATGTAGAATAGTATAATATGTAATCGAAAATAATAATAGGGAGAAGAGGCATCCCTGTTTTACTCATTTGTGATGATAAAGCTTCTAATGTTTCTCCATTGGAAATAATGCCAGCTCTTGATGTTAGATATATGGTTTTGCTCCTTTTGAAGAGAGGCCTATTCATATCTATGATTTTTAACTTATATTAGTGTTGTATGTTAACAAAGAAGTTTTAAAAAGTTCATCTATAAGTCATTGTTTGGAACTCAGAATATGTTCTTTTTTTGGAATCTATTGAAATAATCATGTATTTTTGTTAATTTTGTTGTTTATGTGATTAATTATGCTAGTTCTTAATGTTGAATTAGCCTTGAATTCCTATTGTGAATCCCACTTAAACACAGTAAATTGTTTCTGGCTATATTATTGGAATTTCCTTACAAGAAATTTATTTAAAATCTTCATATCAATATTAATTAGTTAAATTTGTCTATAATTCATAGTATCTTAGATCTGGAGCACTTCTCATTGTCTATATTGTATAAGTGAGAGAAATAAGGCCTAGTGAGGGTAAGCGAATTGTCCAGGGTCACATAAACAGTTAAGAAGCTGACCCAGAAATTTGAACTCAGGTCCTCTGGTGCCAAATCCAATACTCTTCACTGCACCATGGTGCCTCTCACAGTTATCTTTTTCTTTTTCTTACTGGTTTGATTATCAGGACCTTGCTGGTTTCATAAAAGCAGTTTGA